CTCATGAAAAGTAAAAAAAAAACTCAGAGTGACACAAATTGCGTTGTCATTATTTTCAATAACATTTTTTTATAACATTATGTTTTGTGTACATCAAAATCGAAAATTTTTCATCTAGAAATGCTGAAAACCGTTTTTCGTCGGGGGCTTTGACCCCTGAGCCGGGGCCTTCAACAGCCCCCAGACCCCCTGCCTTAATTTGTGCCTACAGTTCATTTAATGTCTGGCTTCGCCCCTGACCAGCAACGCAAGTCTAAAGTAGCAACTGATATTGTTCTGAATTTTTTTTCTCTTTCTATTAAACCCACCATCAAGTAATTCCCTCGCATGTTGGTTTACTTTTTTCATTTTTTTGTTTGTTAACAGGAACGTACGTTGACGATATATCACCATATCAAGTTATATCCTGTTATCCTTTTTGTTTATCCTGTTACCGATAGCAGTATTGCATTTGTATATGCTAAAATGCGAAGATTAAGACGTTAACGTTGTAACCTTTAAATGAGTTCAAACAACCAAACATTTCATTATGTGTAAAACCATATGTAATTATAAACTTTTTAAAGACGTTTCTGTCAAATATTGTCTATCCTGTTACTGTAACCATATAGTAACCATAGTAACAGGATAGACATTAGAGGATAGACAAATTTCTTCATTTTTGAATGCTGTTGTGAAATTACCACTCCCTTTGATGAAGTGATAATGTTTTTCAGTTGAGATTTTGGTTTCCTACACGTAATTGCACTTTTAACAAGTATAATATTGCTGTGATTGATAAATTTATTGGTAACAGCATTATTAACGTTTTAAAATAAATCCTTTTGCAGATAGCAAGGCTATCAGAAAATAGGGAAAAAATCATTTGAAACATGTTACCCTGACACTGTACGCACATACATTTCGCAAAAAATCTGACTTAAATACATTTTTATCTTATCAAAATAGATCTAAATCGTGTTTATTAGTTGATGTTCAACTCATAAATCCTGCAAACTTTCATTTAAACACTTACAACTGCTTTTTTCTGAGATAAGCTTACATATACGATCAACATGTTCTTTCCAGCTTAAATTTTCATCAATATCAATTCCAAGTAATTTGAAAGAATGGACATTCTGAATACCGGTTTTGTTAATGGTAATACATAATTCTGAGTAGTTGTGTAAATTTTTGTTTTGAAAAAAGTAAAATAACAAAAATACCGAACTCCAAGGAAAATTCAAAACGGAAAGTCCTTTATCAAATGGCAAAATCAAAAGCTCAAACACATCAAATGAATGAAAAACAACTGTCATATTTCTGACTTAGTACAGGCATTTCCTTATGAAGAAAATGGTGGATTATACCTGGTTTTATAGCTAGCTAAACCTCTCACTTGTATGACAGTCGCATAGATTTTGTTTAACTTAATTTCATAGACTTCGTTTTGTGTGCACTGATTTTCATACTGTTATTGTTACACCAAGATTGCACAGCATTTAAATCATTTTGCAATATGCTGTTAATTTTTTTAATTTTCTTATCATGAAAATGCAATGTTGAAATATCAGCATATAAATCCATGTTGGATTGTTTATATATATAAGAAGATGTGGTGTGAGTGCCAATGAGACAACTCTCCATCCAAGTCAAAATTTATAAAAGTAAACCATTATAGGTCACAGTACGGTCTTCAACACGGAGCCTTGGCTCACACCGAACAGTAAGCTATAAAGGGCCCCAAAAACATTACTAGTGTAAAACCATTCAAACGGGAAAACCAACGGTCTAATCTATTATTAAAAACGAGAAACGAGAACCACTTATGAACCACATCAACAAACGACAACTACTGAACATCAGATTCCATGTATACGTTTAATACTGTTGCACTGTAGATCCGCAAGTACTACAGCCAGGAGTCAGCGTATAGTAAAATTCTGTACAAATCCTTGACTACAGTGAACAAAGAAGAATCGTCATAAAATCTGGGACTATGATAACGTTATGTCCAAGCATAGATATAATAGCCATTATCTATGGCTATTATATCTATGGTTCCAAATCAAATATTCCCCTGTGTACAAAAAGGTAAAAAATATAACCCTGAAAACTACAGCCCTATATCCCTCGCATGTATTTGCTGCAAACTTCTAGAATATTTGGTGGTTACACACATCATGAAACATGCAGATAATTACAACATCGTATATCCCCTACAGCATGGATTTCGCAGAGGTCGATCCTGTGAAATACAATTACTTGAATTTATAGACGATTTTTTCACACAACATGGAAAATGGTAAACCAACAGATTTTATTTTGTAAAAAATATTTCCGTACTCCATGTATACCTTACGACAAAATTATTTTTATTTGTGTACGTTATTTTAGTTGGCGGCATTTTGTCCAAGGTTATGGTTGTCTTTCTGATATTGTTTTACATCTAACCCCCTTGTTTTATTTATTTTGTATTTACATTGTGTCATAGATCAAATGTATTCGTTCGGTGTATGTTCACTTGTTTTTGTTAATATGTCTTTTGATTGAGTTAAGCCATTGCAATTGATATTTTATAGTATGTCTTTCTATGTTGTGATGTTACACTATTGTTTCAGGTTAGGGTGAGGGTTGGCGCCTATTAAAACGTTTAAACCCGCTGCATTTGTTTGCATCTGTCCTAAGTCAGGAACCTGATGTTCAGTGGTTGTCGTTTGTTGATGTGGCTCATAACTTGATGATGTTTCTCGTTTCTCGTTTTTTATATAGATTAGACCGTTGGTTTTCCTGTTTGAATGGTTTTACACTAGTCATTTTTGGGGCCCTTTATAGCTTGCTGTTCGGTGTGAGCCAAGGCTCCGTGTTGAAGGCCGTACTTTGACCTATAATGGTTTACTTTTACAAATTGTGACTTGGATGGAGAGTTGTCTCATTGGCACTCATACCACATCTTCTTATATCTAGATATTTTAGTCATGGATTTCTCAAAAGCATTTGATAAAGTTTCACATTCACTTCTCATTAACAAACTGCACCATTACGGGATACAGGGGGAATTAACTTTCTGGATACAATTTTTTTTAAGTAATCGCAAGCAGGCAGTAGTATTTGAGGGGGGGGGGGGGGGGTCTGAGTATGTAACAGTTGAGTCAGGGTTTCCACAGGGGTCAGTTCTTGTACCAATTAAGTCTTTTCCTTTACTACATAAACGATATTCCATCTGGTCTTACATTTACAGTGCGTTTATTTGCAGATGACACCATAGTTTATTTGGCAATTAAATCAAATTCTGATTCATCTACATTACGAAAAGATCTTAACAAATTGGCATCATGGGAAACTTCGTTGAAAATGGCATTCCACCCGGATAAGTGTATTGTGGAAATGGCATTCCACCCAGATACGTGTAATGTTATCTCAGTCACCAGAAACAAAAAAAAAACAATCACATTTAACTACACATTACACAATCATTCTTTAGAACATGTAACAACAGCGAAATATCTTGGGGTAACCATCAGTTAAAACCTTAAATGGGATGTGCACATAAACAATTATATGCAAGAAAGCAAATAGCACACGGCTTTCTAAGGAGGAACCTAAATATTAACTCAACATCCATTAAAGAGCATGCATACAAGTCCCTAGTAAGAGTAGACCATCACTAGAGTATGCTTGCTCTGTTTGGGACCCTTACTTACAACAAGACATAGATAGCATTGGAAAAGTTCAAAGGAGGGCTGACCGTTTTGTTACCAACAAATACAGAAACACCTCAAGCGTTGGTAACATGTTACACTGACACCTTGAATGGCGCAGCCTCTCTGACAAAAGAAAAGATGCACGATTGGTAATGCTATACAAAATAGAAAACGAAAAGGTTGCAATACCTAAAAATGATAAATTAATTCCACAACAGAGACAAACAAGACATTCAAATTCGAACAGTTTCCTAATGCCATCCTGCAAAACACAGTATAGAAAATAATTTTGTTTCCGAAGAACAATAACCGACTGAAACCAAACTACCAGATAGCATCGTAAATTGCACATCAGTAGACTCTTTCAAATCTTCAATTTCAAAACATCAATATTAAAAGTCAACTATTCACATCAACTAATTGTACATTTGTAATTTTCATTTTCCCGCTATTTCTAATTAGTATAGTATTAATCTATGTCTTGTTGTAAGTCATTCTCCTGTGACATAATCTTCAATTAATTGAAGGCGGTCACTATATGGTAGAAGAAGTAGAAGAAAATCAGGGCCAGACCTGGGACATAATATATTAGTATAATAGTCCTGAGACTACAACATAGTAGTCTCAGAATAGTCCCAGGCCAGACTGACATGATATGACATGCCATTTAGGGACACTATCATCTTTTTACCTGGGAAAAAGGGGGGGGGGGCTTGTCAAAATATGGGGGGGATCAAGTTTTTTCTGAAGTGGAAAAGGGGGGATCAAGTTTTTTTCTGAAGTGGAAAAGGGGGGGGTCAAGTTTTTTCTGAAGTGGAAAAGGGGGGGGTTCAATTTTGTTTATAAATTCAAAGTGGGGGATCAATTTTATCTCTAATGAAACATTTGTGAACTTTTGAATCTTCAAGTATATCCTACATATTATTTTTGTCAAAGGTAAGTGTTTTGTATGTTAAAATTTTGGCATGTTTGATAGAGGGGGATCACATTTTTTTAAAATATTTTAAGGGGGGGGCAAAATAAAAATAGTGAAATATTATTGGGGGGGTCAAGAAAATTTTATATGTTTGATTTCCAGCCCCCCTTCCCAGGTAAAAAATTATAAGCCCCCTAAACATTTTAATTCTCGTTAACATATTAATAAATTGTTCTCATCTTCCAATCTGGATATTAAATAGAAAGTATTTTTTATAGTACTATGAAATTCTTTATATTAGCCAGGCATAATACATAATATTTTTCCGAAGGCTTATGAAAATAGCATTTAAAATTCCCGCGTTACAATTAAAAATCACAGGTGGTTAAATCCGGGGTTTTCAAACATGCGCAGACTGCTATTCTATGGACTTAGCCGTTTCAGCACAAATTGCTTCGCCATAAAACGTGGACCCTGATAGAAAAAAACTATCTGTGTAATGGAATCTCCGATGGAGACTGAACAACCTGGAATGCTTGAGGTATGTAGAATGTGTATATCAATAATTATTTTTGGTCTTTATATATGTTCAATAAGCCTTTTACTCTGTACACATACCAGAAATTATTCGAACAAAGAACCGAGAAAATGACAAAGTCAAGATGGCCGCAAAATTTCTAAGTCCGACTTTGAAACAGTGACTTTTTTGACGATTTTATCTTTAAATTAAACCAATAGTGGGTGGCTGCTAAATTTCTGTATTTGGTATATTTGTAGATGATATAAAATTGTTATGTTTTCTTTATTTGAAGGGTGCTGGTGATTTCGTTGAGAGCCAACAAAGCGGTGAGTATTTTTGCATATCTTTGAAATATCGACAAAATGGCTAAGTCCAGACTGTAGTCTGTAAAGGCAGGTAACTCAAGCGTAAACTTTTTCGGTTGTAAGCCGCAATAGTGGCATCGTTTGTTGAATTTAAATATATTCTAACATAAGTTTGTTGATAAAAGAGTAATTTAAAACTAATTATTATTATTAAAATTCAAAAGTAAAAAAAGATTGATTTTAATAGTTATCCACAACAGAAACTTGTGGGAAAATGTGTGATGTGTCTAAAAAATTCAGAATTGTGTATATAATGATATAATACGTTTAAATACTTTTTGAAATAGGAAAGAAAAAAACATACATGTTCTTATGCATTCTTGTGATAAGTATCTTGTACACCCCCCTTTTTTCCGAATCTGGGTCCATTCGCCCAAAAACACGTTCGCGCCCATTAACGTTTGCCCCCTTTCATTTTCGCACTCTACACATTCGCACCCTTTTTATTGGTTTTGTGTTTAATAATTTTGTAATCGAGTTTTGGTAAAATATGTGTATTGCTGTAAATATTTTTTTTTTCATTGTTTCAAAATAAAGTGAGATTCTGACAACATTTTTTTATGTTGAATAAATCTTAATCATGTTTTGGTTAGTGTATTGCTATAAAAAAATCATTGTTTCTAATTAAAGTGAGATTCTAACAACGTTTGTTTTTTGTATTGAATAAATCTCAATCATCTATTGGTTAGTGCATTGCTATAAATTTATGTTTTCATTGTTTCAAAAAAAAGTGAGATTCTCATGTGTTTTTTTTTTGTGCTGAATAAATCTTAAATTAGTATGGTTAGTGTTGTGATATAAATTTTTTTATCATTGTTTCAAAATAAAATGAGATCAAAAGGGGCAAGCTGATAAAATCAATTATCTTTCGTGTTTTTCTTTTAAAATCTTCAATGTTTTACTCATACCAAGCTAAATACATGCAGTATTTACATCAAAGCAAGTTAAAACAACAATCATGATTTTGAAACACACAACAATAATACCAAATTTAGCTGTGTATAAATACCAATTAGCAGTAATCATACATTTGTACATAATTAACATTCAATAATTAATCATCAAATTGATGCAAAAAAAAAAAAAATTATTCATATAATAATTCCTCAATTTTTATTCAGGAAAATATTTTTTTTTTTTGTATATACATATAAAAAAATATCTAATATTTCAACTTGAATTTGAAAAAAAATTTGGTGCGAAAGTGTTTTGGGCACAAACGGACCTGATACCCTTTTTCCCTATCAAAAATACTCTTCAATGATTAAACTGCTTGGAGATAATTCTAACCAAAAGTGGTTATTTTGTAAAGGTAGTTGTAATGTTAGAATACATGTCACATATTCTGAATACACCAATGTCAAGTTGTTTATTTTATTTTATGAATTAGTTACACTGGTTGACCGGGGTCAATTGAAGTAAACAAGGTCGTCAAATCAATAGGTTCTTACTGTGCCGTAATATCTTAAGTATTGTCACATGGGAAATTTACCGTAATGTGCACGAATTTGAAAGTTGTCTATTGAACAATAAGAAGTAGGACCAATAAGGCCTTTTTATTTTGCCCAAATATTAATTAGTCCAATTTATAAAGTTACCATATATTTTCTTAAATTTGTCCTATATGTTATCATACTAGGTGTAGAGATAATATAAAAATATTTCGCATTTAACGAGTTACCATGGCAACAATCCATGATAAAATATGTATATTTTATGAAAATGTCTGATATTCCTCTGACAAAATTTTTCAAAGTACAAAAATAATTTCAATAAAATTTTTGCTTGATTTCTTATCTTCACAGTTGCTGAAATGAAAGCTAAATTAATTGAAGAGACCAGCAGTGCGAACCATATTGATGAGTCAAAACAGAATGGACATTTGAGCAACCATAGCTCTTCTAGAAAAAGTGAAGGACACCACAGTTCCTCAGGTTCAAAGCATTCCTCATCCCACAGTTCGTCAAAACATAAAGATGGTTCAAGCTCCAGTAAACACAGCAGCAGCAGCAAACACAAGGATGGGAGTTCATCTAGTAGCAAGCATCGTGATGGACATAGCTCAAGTAGTAGCAAAAGCAAGGAAGGGAGCTCATCAAGCTCTTCCCATAAACATAGTAGCAGCAGCTCTAGTAGTAAACATAAGGAAGGAGGCAGTAGCTCAAGTAGTAAGCATAGGGAAGGACACAGTTCAAGCTCCAGTCATTCCAAAGACAAGCCTCAGAGCTCATCATCAAAAGAGGGAGGTTCAAGCTCTAGTTCTAGCAAAGATAAAGATAGACACAAAGAAAGTTCTAGTAAAGATGCAGAAAAACACAAGTCAAGCAGTAGTTCAAGTGACAAACACAAATCAGGTAGTAGTTCTGGTGATAAGCATAAGTCAAGTAGCAGTTCAAGTGACAAGCACAAGTCAGGCAGCAGCTCAAGTGATAGACATAAGTCAAGTAGTAGCTCTGCTGACAAGCACAAGTCAAGCAGTAGCTCAGTTGAAAAGCATAGGGATGGTTCCCCTAGCAAACACAAGGAGTCATCATCCAAATCAGAGCATAGAGAGAAAGAAAGACAAAAAGAAGATAAGGAGAACAGAGCAGAGAGGCAAAAAGAATATGAAAATATCAGAGAAGAACCCAATGAGGAGCTCCAGAAAGAGACTATGGAAGTCGATATCAAAACTGAACCAGGATCTCCTATAAAGATGTCTCCAAATAAAGCTCCTAAAGAAGAAACGTTGAGTGATGATGATGTACCTTTGGTAAGTAAAATGATTAGGTTAATCTCTTAAACTTTCTTTTTAATGTACCAAACAAAGGATGCTCTCAAAATTATTTGATTTTTGTATTTTTTAATGATCAGACTGAAATAAATACAATTCAAATATGCACAATGGTCTAAACAAACATATACAAATTCTTTATGGATAACAACGCAAGACTATGGAAGTACCTAAATGTTCATAGCAACAGAAAAACAACACAGAAGATGACCGGCCGGCCATGTTTATGAATCCTAACTTGCATATATATACGTAATCCAAGCTCTAAATGCAAGAATATAACTCTTTTTTTCTGGTTGACAGTCTAAAAGAATTAAACAAGAGAAACCAGTAAAGAGAGAACAACCTGAATCTGATGATGAAGATGACCAGCCACTTTCAGCCAGGTATGTATTGTTCAGTTTACCCAGAAAGCATTGACAAGCAAAGTTTGAATAGTATACGTACTAATCATTGATTTTTTGCAACTAATTTACAACCAGCAAATACCTGTAGTATTCTAATGAGCATGGTTGTTGTTATTTGCTGTTTGTTATATCTATTTTTCATTTATGTCATAAATAAAGTTGTTGGCTTTTGTCGAGCCTGCGACTTTTGTCGCAGAAAGCCCAACATAGGGATAGTGATCCGGCGGCGGCGGCGTTAGCTAACTTCTTAAAAGCTTTATATTTTAGAAGGTGGAAGGTCTGGATGCTTCATACTTTGTATATGGATGCCTCATGTTACGAAGTTTCCGTCAGTCACATGTCCAATGTCCTTGACCTCATTTTCATGGTTCAGTGACTACTTGAAAATAAAGTTCAGATTTTTTGTAATGTTAGATTCTCTCTTATTATAAGTAATAGGATAACTATATTTGGTATGTGCGTACCTTGCAAGGTCCTCATGCCCGTCAGACAGTTTTCACTTGACCTCAACCTCATTTCATGGATCAGTGAACAAGGTTAAGTTTTGGTGGTCAAGTCCATATCTCAGATACTATAAGCAATAGGACTTGTATATTCGGTGTATGGAAGGACTGTAAGGTGTACATGTCCAACTGGCAGAGTTCATCTGACCTTGACCTCATTTTCATGGTTCAGTGGTTATAGTTAAGTTTTTGTGTTTTGGTCTGTTTTTCTTATACTGTATGCCATAGGTCTACTTTATTTGGTGTATGGAATGATTGTAAGGTGTACATGTCTAGAGGGCAGGTGTCATCTGACCTTGACCTCATTTTCATGGTTCAGTGGTCAAAGTTAAGTTTTTGAGTTTTGGTCTTTTTTTCTAATACTATATGCAATAGTTCAACTATATTTGGTATGTGCGTACCTTGCAAGGTCCTCATTTTATGGATCAGTGAACAAGGTTAAGTTTTGGTGGTCAAGTCCATATCTCAGATACTATTAGCAATAGGTCTTGTATATTCGGTGTATGGAAGGACTGTAAGGTGTACATGTCCAACTGGCAGGTGTCATCTGACCTTGACCTCATTTTCATGGTTCAGTGGTTATAGTTAAGTTTTTGTGTTTTGGTCTGTTTTTCTTATACTGTATGCCATAGGTCTACTATATTTGGTGTATGGAATGATTGTAAGGTGTACATGTCTAGCGGGCAGGTGTCATCTGACCATGACCTCATTTTCATGGTTCAGTGGTCAAAGTTAAGTTTTTTGAGTTTTGGTCTTTTTTTCTAATACTATATGCAATAGTTCAACTATATTTGGTGTATGGAAATATTTTATGATCTATTTGGCAGTCACGCAGGTTTTATTTGACCTTGACCTCATTTTCAAGGTTCATTGCTCAGTGTTAAGTTTTTGTGTTTTGGTCTGTTTTTCTTAAACTATAAGCAATAGGTCAACTATATTTGTTGTATGGAAGAATTGTTAGCTGTACATGCCTGCCTAGCATGGTTCATCTGACCTTGACCTCATTTTCATGGTTCATTGGTCAATTTTTAGTTTACTTGGTTAATGTTAAGTTTATGTGACAGTTGTAATAAAGCTTTATATTTAGGACTATCAACATAATATCAATGATTAGTAAAGAAGGCGAGACATTTCAGCGTGTGCACTCTTGGTTGTTGTTATTTGCTGTTTGTTATATCTATTTTTCATTTATGTCATAAATAAAGTTGTTGGTTTTTATACATCCATTTAAATATTATCTAAAAAAAAATGTTCATCTCTTATATGCCATGCATAAATCAATGCAGAAATACAAGTGATTTGGAACCTTTTTAACCAAAAAAGTTTTTAAGTGGTTCCATTGCTAGAAGTGCAGAACTAGAACTGCCTGTTGTGTAGATTACTTCTTTGGTTTTCTTATAGAAGTGTTTATTCCATTGACAGTGACAATTTTTTTTAAGTCTGATTAATCAAGAGAATAACATTTCTGATGTTTGACTTCAGAATGGAAAGTGCAAAGAAAGTAAAGAAAGAAAAAGATTCCAAAAAACCAAAGAAAAGGAAATCTTCTAATTATGATGATGATTCTGAGGAGGAGAAACCATTAGTAAGTTTATAAAGTTATATAGATATTAAACTTCTACCCTGGCAAATTACCTTGTACAGTCTCAAAGGACTGAAACATTATGCATTGCTCCATTGGAAATGTTTATGCAAATTGCTCATGTAGCAACGCCACTTTTAATCAATAGACTGGGTATGCAGTCCGACACAAATAAATTTTTCACAACAAAATAGGATAAGTTGAACTAAATTTTTGTATACATCTGTAAACTGAGTGACTATTACAAAAGCAATGCATTACACTCAAAACTATGATGCCATTGGCTGTTGATAATAGCTGTAGCATAGATAGGGGCTTGGAAAAGTATATAACATAGAAATATCCTTATTGGAAGTAAATTACTTGACACTTGATCACTCAGTATTATGACAAACTAAAAAACTAGATAATTAAACTGGAAATATCTGCTGTCTAAAAGTCTAATTTCATTACAGAAAAAGAAAAAGAAAGTAAAAAATGAGGTTAAACAAGGAACTGCATCTCCAAAAAAGAAAAAGAAGAAGGGGGAAGAGGAAAAGCAGGAGGTTTGGAAATGGTATGACTTTATTCAAATAACAATGCATTTGTATGCTTAACTGTACAACTAATGAGTTATATAATTATGACCTGTTTGTTGTATGAGGAATCATTAAGTTGCATGTAATATATTTGCCTTAGGAACTTCAGCAAACAAATACATGTATTATGTAGAATAAACATTTGTAGAACAATCCCTTTAAAAACTCAATTTCACAATCCTGTTTGTTTAGCCCATTTTTTTTATGCATTATTCTCTTTTCTTTATATTTTAGCACCCCATTATTGTCTATTCATTTAATTAAATCTGTTTTTTTCTTGCCCATATTTCTCTTTTCTTTTCAATACAACTACACAATCAAAATGTTCATGAATATTCAATAACATTTATTAAATAATTCCACCTTATGTAATAATGCTGTATTTTGATTGGATGAGAGACATGGTATTTTTCACCAATTTCTATGTATTGAGATTTTCTTTTCTCTGCCGGGGTATTTGTCATTAGGGAATTCCATGTGCTGGGGTATTTACTAGCAAATACCATGGCAGATGGGGAATACCATGTCTAAAAATAACCCAATGAATTATTTCTAATCAAATAGGACAAATTTATGGTCATTCTTAACTTATACGGTTCCAAGTGAAATATTTAGGATAAAAACATCGTTATTGAATTTGGAGCGAATGACGTCAAAATTCCGCGAACTTGTACTTTTAATGACGTCATAAATAAATCTCAACGGAAACACATTGTCAACCGGTCATAAACATAAACTGGAATCCGCTTGTATTACGCTTCACTCAAACTGATGAACAAAGTGTAGTAGTCAGCCGAGAACCAGCTTATCATAAACAGGGATATATATATATAAGGTCAGTGACTGTACATCAAAAATGATCAGAAATGATTTTAAGGCCAATGCAATTTGACTGCGCAAATAGCACAGCTGCAGTATATACAAAAATTATACATTCAAGTAGAAACTCCATATGATACCTGATTACAATAAACTTTTTGAGGTCAAGATGGATACAAAGAACATTCGGTGGAATTAAACAATTATATCATGCTTACAAGGGGTATTTGCTAAAAATACCCCTTGTAAGCATGATATATTTGTATATGAACCCATATTTGAACAGATAATACCTCTTGTGTGATATTGACCTTTTGAACTTATTTCAGGTGGGAGGAGGAAAGACGTGCAGATGGTGTCAAATGGAATTTTTTAGAACATAAAGGAGTTGTATTTGCACCTGAATATGAACCCCTTCCTGATGATGTTCAATTTTATTATGATGGTAGGACAATTGTTACCATTGTCTGGATAAATACATAAGGCACTCAGTATATTCCTTATATGCCAGTGTGACAAAATCAGACTTGTACCTGTTAACAGTCTCTGCACACGGAAATGAAATAAAAAAAAATAATCTTACTGAAATATAAATCCTGTGTCCATGCTTTGCTTTAATACAAAGATCTGACACTAATCTGTTCTACTTTCTAACTTGAAACATTTTCAGGATCATCAGATTTATAAGTATTGATACACACTATAAAAAAAGTCTGAAACTTCATTAGTTGATGTTATAATTATTAGAACAGATAGAGGAACATAGTGTTGTCAGATCCTTGTAAGCGAAGGTCACAGGATCTTATTCATTCAGTAAAAACATGACATGACATTCCAAAGTATAATGGTAACCATCATTAGAATAAATATGATTTTTGGGAGTTACAACACATGCTTTATCAAGTTATAGAGATCACAATATGTAAAATCTATAAACAAACCTAAATTTACCTGATTAGGATTTTCTGGAACATTAATTTTTACACATATTGTTTGGAAAGCAAATATATACTGCTATTATATTGAGAACTTATTTACCATTGACAGGAAAGCCAATGAAGCTAAGTGAAGAAGCAGAAGAAGTAGCTACATTTTATGGAAGGATGTTGGATCATGACTACACAACAAGAGACGTCTTCAATAAAAACTTCATGAAGGATTGGACAAAGGTAAGACAAATAACAAAAGAAACAAATTAATAAACCAAATCATTTAACTACTGTTATAACAAAGTTAAATTAACAAACTGAAATGCATGGAAAATATAAAAAAAAACACAACTAAATAAAGTACTCATTCGAAGGTCTTGCCTAAAACCACCTAGTTTTATGTCTGTATTAGTGAAGATTAACTTTTATCAGCACTTTTTTTTACATTATTTTGTTCCCTTATTTCCTCTTACCTGTCTCCTGAAATATTTACAATTCCCTCTACCTTCCCCATACACTAATCTGATATTATAATAGTAAACATCGTGTATGTAGTATTGGTAACACAGGCACTGAGAATATTAGTATCTATATCAGGTAAAGCCTTTGTAAAATAAATGGAAAACAGATTATATATTTCAAATTCTAAACTCATATCAGCTCCATATTTGATCCTTAGCTGATGTAGGATTTGTGTTATCTTGATGACATTGTAATGTAATACCATTTTGTCTTAAAATCATTTAGGTTATGACATCAAAAGAAAGAGAAAAAATCAGAGACTTGAAAAAGTGTGACTTCAAGGAGATTGATGCTTACTTTAAAAGGAAAACTGAGGAGAGAAAAGCTATGACTAAGGAAGAAAAACTGGTAAAGACAGTAATTTTTTATTGTATATCTTTCATTAGTAATTCATTATTGAATTGAATACTGTTTTTTGAAAATTTGTATAAAAATTTAAGCTAATGACCATCACATCTTGCATGGACACGGTAGTACTTCTTGCTAAAAAGTTCATGAACAATGCAAAAAATAGTGTGATTAGTTAGGTAGGCAGAGGTGATAATTCTATAACCTTGTGTTGCTTTCATATGGCGGTTGGGTTTTTTTCCATGCAGAATTAAGCATAAAAAGGAATCAAACAATTTGACTTACAGCAATTTAAAGATCAGCATTTGTATGAATTGAACATCTACTGCAAATATAAATAAATATTTCATATTATATAAGCGCATTTGAAATTACAAAAATCACGTCCGAAAATTTTCTTGTACAATCGAAAGTGCCAGATTTGAATATCTTCTTTTACATAACAGTGTTAGTAGTTATATATTGCTGAAATTTACAACTGACAAAATGGTTAATGTAAATTCTGTTAGTTTTAGCATTACTAGAGTTGAGAAAAACTTGAATGCATATAGATAGGTTAAATATTTTTTAAAGGTGATAAAAAAGAAAAATGAAGAAATTCTAGCAGAATATGGTACTTGTACTATGGATGGACACAAGGAAAAGATAGGTAACTTCAGAATAGAACCTCCAAGTCTATTCAGAGGTCGTGGTGACCATCCCAAACAGGGCATGTTAAAGAAAAGAGTTTTGCCACGAGATGTCATCATTAACTGCAGCAAGTAAGTACTACCAACTTAGTTTATAGATATCAGTACTAATTTTAATTGGAAAGGGTAATCTTAAGTTCTGTGTTTTGAAGAAAATGCTTATAAAAAGTTGCATTTTGGGAAATTTAAAATCAAATCAGAGCATAGATTTTTATAGTCCATATTGCTGTGACCTTTTTTTGGACTTGTTGGGGTTGTTAGACAGAGTGGCAAGTTTCTCTCTGGAAAAAGTAAAAGATTCATTTTCAAGTACATAAATTATACATCTTTCAATTCCTTATTTATTTTACTCCACAAATATGTAGACTTTTGTTCACATACTAATCCCTGAAGTGCAAATGACTGCTATATTCCCTTCAACTCTCCCATTTTTTTTGCTTTGTCCTTTCACTTTTTACAACTTGTCACATATGACTGGGTTTATTTCATTCTGTGTTGGTTTTGGATGGATTGATTTTAAGTGTTTGATTGTTTTATAGAAACTCCGAAATACCAAAACCACCTCCTGGACATAAGTGGAAAGAAGTTAGACATGACAATACTGTGTCATGGTTGGCTAGCTGGACTGAAAGTATTCAAGGGCAAACAAAATATGTCATGTTAAATGCAGCTTCTAGACTCAAGGTAAGTTTCAAATGCATAGAACCTACAGATTTGAATTGCACAATCGCCCATAATAGTAATTTAAGGGTAGATTTGTACCCAAGGAAACTAAAAGTGTCAACACTTAATCTTATAAACAAATGAGCATGCACTTCACTATTTACTATATAGATGTTCAGTGAAAAAACATTTACAGGCCTAAATCAGTAATACAAAGACTGAAAAATAAAGAGTCTCTTGTAATACATTTTGCAGTAAAAGATAGAGTTTTAAATGAACTAGAAGCCCTAAAGACCACTAACAATATTTATGACTTGTGTTTGTTATTGTAGGGAGAAAAAGATTGGCAGAAATATGAGACCGCCAGAAATTTATACAAATGTGTTGACAGTATAAGGGAAGGATATAGAAACGACTGGAAATCTAAAGAGATGAGAATAAGGCAGAGATCTGTAGCAATGTATTTTATTGATAAGGTGATATATTGAATGTACTAACTTCCCTTGTTGGTATGGTAAAATAGTTCATATATTCAAATCACCTTGTTTAAAAAGTAAATAGTGAATATGGAAATTAAAATATTGAAGAAGGATTTAGCCTCCTCCCATAGCAAATAGGGAAGAAACTTGTATATAAATTTGAATTACTTTAATATTATATATTATATGATACTTCTTTCAATTATCAGAATATAAAAGAACACAATGTTCTTATGGAAAAATGTTCATGCTTAATGTTTATTTTATTAGCTTGCCTTGAGAGCTGGTAATGAAAAGGAAGAAGGAGAAACAGCAGACACTGTAGGTTGTTGTTCACTACGTGTAGAACATCTCAAACTCCATGAGAAATATGATGATCAAGAATTTGTGGTGGAGTTTGACTTCCTTGGTAAAGATTCTATCAGATACTATAACAGATTAGCAATAGAGAAAAGGGTGTTTAAGAACTTATCACTATTTATGGAGAACAAACAGCCTGGAGATGACATATTTGACAGATTGAATGTAAGTTACTTACTGCAAATGTATATACCGTTAGTTTTACAATTTAGAGGGGAAAGCAGTTTATATGGACAAAAACATGTCCATTATGAAACATTTCATTGTCCTATATCATGATGTCCATAAAAAGAACTTCTTCCTAATTGCATATATAAAATATACTCTGCTTTTTTCATCAGACCAGATTATTCATCATACTTGGTAGTAAAAATGACTGTTTTTATTTTTTAGACTGGAATTTTGAATAAACATTTACATGACTTGATGGACGGTTTGACAGCCAAAGTCTTCCGTACATTCAATGCTTCAAAAACATTACAAGAACAACTTAAATTGTTGACAGATCGTAAGTATCATAGTTATCTCTAAGTCATGATTATAAACTAGAATAGCTAAACAAATGATGTAGTTGGGTTATGGTCTAATGTATGTAAGAAACAAAAAAAAACGTTGTTGTTGTTTCTTTTCAACGAAAATTGCCTTATGGTAATGTTTTAAGTTAATTCAATTGTAAACTTTGTGAAAAAGGAATTTTTGCAAAAATCTTGTCAATTGTAAAGAATTATTGAAGATAAATGAATAATGAAATATATTCTCAAACAGTGTGGAGCTAGATTCTTATTATTTGTAAAAACTTTGTGATGAAAAAAAAAATAATCTACTGTTTTATATTTAATTTTTTAGCTGATGATCCCATTCCTGCTAAATTACTGTCATACAACCGAGCCAATAGAGCTGTTGCTGTATTGTGTAACCATCAACGTGCAGCACCCAAAAACTTTGACAAACAAATGGAAAACATGCAGAATAAGGTAAGTAAACAGTAGAAGTTTGAACATCGAAGTGGTCTTTGTGGAAGGATATTTGACTTGGATGCAGATTGCTGTCAGTTACATCCCCGGCCAGGTCCAGCCAAATACATTGGTATTCACTGCTTTTTCATCAAACATGGGCATATAGTAGTAAGAGCAAACGAATGGTTGGTTCAATGTATGAAAATGTCTAGGTAGCCTGACTTGTCTTTCAGTTTCTCTGAGTATAGCTAAAAATTAGAATGTATATTTAAACAAAAAAAATCATTGAAAGAAACATAAAAATATATCTGTAGTAAGAAGTTAGTATTGAACATATCAAAAAAATCTTAGATATAAATAAGAAGATGTGGTATGAGTGCCAATGAGACAACTCTCCATCCAAGTCACAATGTATAAAAAATAAACAATTATAGGTCAAAGTACGGCCTTCAACACAGATATATATATTTTACATGAGATTCAAGTGCATTCTATAGATTTTACTATAAATATATATTTTCACCAAAAAATTGCTGTTCTATATTTTACTATAAAGACAAAGTGTGTTTTCTGTAGATTGCTGCCAAGAAAGATGCAATCAAAGAAGCTAAGAAAGGAGTGAAAGATGCTAAGGCTGATTATAAAGCCATGAAATCAGAAAAGGCTAAACAGTAAGTATTACAGCAACCCATCAACACATAGCTACCAAATATCAACATTGGGAGCTTACAAAATACTGAGCAGGGGTTCATTCTATAGCAAGATTTAAGGAAGTTATCTACTCATTTTTGTTTTTTACTTCGTTTCAGATATTTGGAATCCTCTTAGTTTTATCCATGTAGTGCCAACAAAAATTTTGTCCACTAATCCCTACATAGTTTTTGAAATAAAAAAGGTGCCTTTGTTAAATATATATGAAAGTTCTAAGGAGAGTCATTTCCCGTCAAACTTTCAATTGATTTTATCTCAAAAACAAGCACACAGACTACATTTTTTCTGGTTTTTAAGTTTCCGTTATTTATATACTTTTAATTTGTAACAGTCTTTTGAAAAGCTTGTTATTTTGGAACAATGGAGCAAAATCCTTAAATAACCAAGGATAAATGATAATCACTCTCTAATCCTTACAATTCAACAGAGACCAAACAAACTTACACGGACAGCTTCAATCAAATTGGAGAGTATGTGTTTACCAAATGAAAAACACAGGCAACTCATTTCCTCCACAGAAGACTTCATGACACTTTTGATTTTTAAGATACAGCACATGTTTTATTGGAAAAGTTTGTTCAACAGATTAATTATATACTGCACATATGTTGTTTTATGTGTATGTTCAGCAGATTAATGAGATACAGCAACTCAATTTCAAATGAAACTACATTATCTTTTAAAATTTGGCTCTTGTTGAAGAAGTTTTGTAGGTTCTTCACTTGAATGCTAAAATAAAATTGATGCATGAAAATTAGAACATTTTATTGTATTTGAAATCTTTTGGAATTCAATATCAAGACCATGGCAATTATACTTTGTGTTATAGAAATGTAGAGAAAAAGAAAAAGATGGTTGATAGATTGGAAGAACAACTGACTAAACTGGAAGTGCAGGCTACAGATAAGGTAATAATGATATTTGCAGAAAGGTGTTTAAAGTATTGATACAAAATTAGATAAGTATAGTGCTTCCTTTAACCTAGATATTTAACTAATTAGTTACCTGCTCTTGTGGACCACTCCTTTAGGTAGATTGCTAAAAGAGGGGCTTATTGTGTTAGAGGTCCCAGGTTCACTTACCAGTGTTGCTGTTAAATTTTAGAAACAAAAAATTCCCTACTGCTACTAAAGAATATCTTCACTGTATAGTGACTTTTTGTTGATTTTCATTTTTGTCGAGCCTTCGACTTTTGTCGAAAAAGCGAGACATAGCGATCCTACATTCCGTCGTCGGCGGCGTCCACAAATATTCACTCTGTGGTTAAAGTTTTTGAAATTTTAATAACTTAAACTATCCTGGATTTCTACCAAACTTGGACAGAAGCTTGTTTATGATCATAAGATAGTATCCAGAAGTAAATTTTGTAAAAAAAATATCCTGTTTTTCAGTATTTTACTTATAAATGGACTAAGTTTTTCTGCCAGGAAACATAACATTCACTCTGTGGTTAAAGTTTTTAAAATTTTAATAACTTTCTTAAACTATCCTGGATTTGTACCAAACTTGGTCAGAAGCTTGTTTATGATCAAAAGCTAGTATCTAGAAGGAAATTTTGTTAAAATTTTGTACCTGTTTATCTGTAATTTGCTTATAAATGGACTTAGTTTTTCTTCCAGTTAACATTACATGCAGTCTGCAGTTAAAGATTTAAAACATTTATTAGATTCATAAACTATCCTGGATTTTTACCAAACTTGGACAGAAGCTTCTTACAATCAAAAGATTGTACTGAAAGGAATATTGTTATTATTTTTTTTCCTCATTTTTGTTGAGCCTGCGATTAACAACAAAAGTAGGCGAGACACTGGGTTCCGCGGAACCCTTACGAATTTTATGGTATATATGGCATTATGTATGTAAATTAAAACTAGAAAAGCATTATTATACAAAGAATTAAATTGGAATTATTTATCTCTATTTACAGGATGAGAACAAAGAAATAGCCTTAGGCACTTCCAAACTGAATTATTTGGACCCCAGAATCTCAGTGGCTTGGTAAGTACCTGGAAACATGCATTGTTGCTTACACCCACTTCATTTGAACTTTTGGTTGATAGTTGCCTCGTTGGCAATCATAATCTCTTTATTTTTATATTGTGTACAGTTACTTTAGCAATTTATGTTAACATCTAAAAATGATTATTCGTTTTGAAATAACTGTGAAGGATAGACCTCACTTTAAAAAGTCATCTTATGTTAAGAAAAATTGTAAATAGTTGTCAAAACTGAATAGCATTTGGATAGACAACTCTTTATGTCGACAACAACAAAAATTTTCAGCTGCAGGCTTTCATTGGCAATTTCTACCATTGAAGCATTCTTCCAAGGTTAGGATTCAATCAGCTTATAGTCAGCAACCTAATAAGACTTAATTTCCTTCCCCTAATATTTTGGTATGAAGTAAAATCAGTTTAACCAATTTTATCTCATTCTGTCATGGAAAGATTTTTTCTTTCGACCTTATGAAGAGATCAGTTGTGTTTATAATTAGGCTAAATGGAACCTGAATAGGAGTGATGTCACAAATATGAGAAGGATGGAAGCTGCCTCATTGGTGGAAAATTTAAAAGTATTTATTTTAAAGTATCAAATTAATGGCCATCTGAGATTGCTTTAACGTGGAAAGATGTTTTCAGGTTCTGTATACAATAACATTGTGAATTGTTTTTCTTCTCCTTATAAAATATAGATATATAGATATATTTTATGTTGCAGGTGCAAAAAGTGGGAAGTTCCAATAGAGAAAGTTTACAATAAGACACAGAGAGATAAGTTCCGATGGGCAATAGACATGGCAGATGAAACATTTGAATTTTGATGCTAGTCCACATTAGAATGCAATGTCTACATAATCTTTCAAAAGTTGAACAGGTATCCAGTGACTTGTTTTCTTCACTTAACCAACCAAATGCTTGTGTTCTTACTGGTCTCCCCCAACTAACAGATACTTTGATACTACACTCTACATTTAAATATGTCAGTAATGTATGTAATACCATATGTAATGTGTAGCAGGTAGATTTAACAATTATTACAGGCCCTCATAGCAAAGTTTTATACTTGTGTCCGCAAAACCTGTACTCTATTTAAGTTATTTTATATTTATTTTAATTTAAGAGAAAAAAGAAGTTTGAGGTAAAAGTGGCTAATGTCGGAGAGCTGAACTGTTTATGAAATTGTATTAAAAACTTATTGTAGATATAGAGTGTATGTGTGTAAATGGAATTGCAGTTGTGTAATATGATTGTGAGATGTCTTTTTCTGATATTAACCAAAATGATAAAACATAAATAAATACTTTTGATGCATGAGAAAGTGTATGTGTGGAAATGTAGTCCTTTAGAATTTTAGCAAACTTTTACATGTATGAAGTTGGTGAGATAAAAGTAGATGTAAAGAGGATCAATTAAATAATTAGATGTAGTTTGTGTTGACACTTTCTCCTATCATTTATCCATAAGGCTAAAAGTTAAAGCTCAGATGCAAATGAATAGTAAATAGGGATTGAAACCAGTTCTTTATTAATTACATTAATAAGGTTTACTTTATTGATAACAGTAATGAGGGTTACAGTTGTATTATATCTTGACACAGTTGTATATTATGGAAAATATAAATTAAAGACGTCAATTCCTACTGAAGATCTAGGTGGTATAAATATTAAAAAGTATAAAACAGTATGCAAGTATTTCAAGATTATGAAATAAAAGATCCTGAAAGTGAAAAAAGATTTTCTATAAAAATAAATGAATTATAACCCCTTTTTTTCCACAAAAGAGTTGAAAGTGGAGGGTTAATTGGAGTGGAGTCTTAACTTTGAAAGTTATTTCTGATTTTGAACTTTTGTATAACATGAAATATGTACATGATAAATGGTAAGATTTTTGCCTAAAGTGTGTGTTATGAATAAGGTTTGAATATTTTTTTCCATGTTCAAGGTCACAAACTTAATTCATCTTGTTCTTATCCCATGTCCAAATTCACAAATCCAGCTTAAAACTTTTGGTTGCCTTAACTGTATGTTAGATGAATGTGGGTTTATTTTTGATTTTGTTTGCATTATCCCTAGTTATATATATTGTTTAAAACATCTTGTTGATTATAAGGTGAAAATATTTGAATGGTTTGCATCTATAACATGCTGATAATGGTTTCAGTTGTATTGTGGTGGCTATTTCTGGAAAATTATGTAAAAAGGAAGGAAAGATAGGTTGCTTGGTGGCTTTTTCTCGTCCTTCACATATTACTAAATTTCATCAAATGCCACTTTTTCTGGAATAGCACTCAACAATTAGGTTTTATATAAAATAAATTTTACAAATGAAATAAGCTCAGATAACAATAACGTTCCTTAAAAAGATTTTGACAGTTAATAGTTAAAGGAAGTCTCATAAGCTGATAAATATTGTAAATATTATATTTGTATGTTACATTTTCCAAATCATGGGACCAATTGTAGAAATAAGCCTGTGTAATTTTATGAATTTTTAAGTCAAAGTTTGTATATCTATTATGAGATTGATTAAAACCTCTTGTGTTTGAAAATGTAATATTCTTTATAATTTGTTGTTGACATCTAGAGGTTACCTTTATATATAAGATCATTTATACATCAGGATTTATCTCAACTGCTTATTTCCACTGTCTTTCTCTATTAAATTGTAAAAGTCAAATCACAAATTGACTTACTGATTCAGATCAACGTAAGGAAATCCCTTATTGCATGGACAAAAACAAACTGTGATCTAATGTTTGCAATATTCTATTTCATAAGTTATATATATTTGTAAAATATATTTTGATCTATTTGATATTTGTTTCACCAAACTAGTACATGTATTTCATGAAGATTCTTTGTATTCTGACAAATTGATACTTTTTTAAAATTTTAAAATGTTAGTATCTTTTTGGGAAAAACAGTTTTTTGAAACAAAATAAATTTTTCCTGAATAGATTTTACTTCATTTGAATAGAAATATTTTATGACAACTTTAAAAGTATTTTTTAATTGTACAATTTTATGTGAATTTTAACAGACAGCTCTTGTTTTATGGTAAATTGTTGATTATTTGTCTTTGTTCAGATTATCATTTTGATTTGTGTTGGAACATTTTATCTGTACTTGTGTTTAATGTATTTTTAAAATGCTGAATGTTAAGGTCACTATTTTGTGTTTCTCAAAGATCAGGTGTCTCTAAATCTGAGGGGGATGACACGCTATTGGGATGTTAGGAAATGAGCACCCATGTGTCACCCCCTCAAATCTGTTATTGTGGAAGATTATGTTTATAATCATTATATAAGCTAAGCTAAATCACATGCCAAAAGAGCATTACTTTCAGTCTTGGATGAATCTAACAAAACAGTATTACAGAATAAATCAGATTGTGTGTTAACATCCAAAATATTTATTATATTGTATATTCCATCTTGTGATAAGAAGACACATATGAATGACATTTTCCGTCCAGATCTTAAATTTAGTTGAATTGATATTTGCTGTAACTAAAGGCTGAAACATCATATCTAAGAGCCGGGATTAGTACTTTTAAAGATAATTAGTTACTTGCCTACAAAAAAATACTGTCTGACAAATTGCTGATTGAGAAGAGCGCCAATCTGGTTGTCATGAATGAATTCTTCATTTGGAAAGTTGATCTCAAAATCTACTTTATAAAAAAATTTCGAACTAAATATTTATTCCAAAGAGTATTTTTTTGTGTTCTGTGTTAGCTAGTCTTTCAGCAAAACTGTTTGACATAGAAATTTCTTCTATTTGAATGTAATTTTTGTGTGTGGGAAATTATAAAACATGTATGCATGAAATGAATATAACTACTTGTACTCATAAAAAAGTTGTAAAAGATGAATTGATGTCTTGAATGTCTGTCTCATATGATGTACTAGATTATTTTGAACTTTTCTCAATATCATTATAAAATAGTTGTAAAAGATACAGCAAAGCATTCATATATGCAATGATACCTTGATGTAAAAATGCTTTGTTATGGTACTCTTAACATGGGAATTTTAATCGATTGGTATATAAATGTGCAGATGCAGTTTTCATTTTAACAAAATGGGGTATTTCAATTTGTTACAGTTAATTGATTCAAATGCATTTTACAATATTAGAATTTGGTTTTAAAATTATATGACTATGATAAAGTGCCATTGTTGTTACTCCACAGAATGTTATTGGATCATTGTTTCTTGTTTGTATCCCACACATTGTCTGTACCGTCTGATATTAAAAATGATGATAAAAACTAGGGACTTGTGTTATTTTTACCCAGAATGATGGAATAATCTACAATACAATATGAACTAGAAGTTATTTTTAGCGACTGTATTATGACTGCCGTTTGAACTAGAAGTTATTTTTAGCCACTGTCGTATGAACCAGAAGTTATTTTTTGGCCATTTTCGTATTAACTAGAAGTTATTTTTAGCCACTGAATTATGATACTGCTGTATAAACTAGAAGTGACTTTTTAGCCACAGTATTATGACACTGCCATATGAACTAGAAGTTATTATAAGCAAGAATGCAATTATGATGGAATAATGCTGTATGAATTAGAAATTGTTATGAATGACTGGTTAACAAGATATGGTTGCCTGTTTTTAGTTGAGATCAAATGCGAATATACATTTGTCTGTTTTCATTTCTGCATTTGCTTATTTTTCTTCTCAATAGATATAAGAAGATGTGGTATGAGTGCCAATGAGACAACTTTCCATCCAAGTCACGATTTGTAAAAGTTCAGGTTCCTTAAAAGACATTAATTTTATAATACAGTGAACCCTGTTTTGTATGTCTACAAACATGTTTAACTCCACCACTTTATGTGTCTCTTTTTGAAAACAGCAGTCTGTGGTCCAGTGGTTGCTATGTACTGCAATTTTTATACCCCCACAATCAAATTTTGGGGGTAAAGGTATATAGGAATCACCTTGTCTGTCTGCCCTTTCGGCTTTGTGTCCAGTGCATAACTTTTGTATCATTGAACTTGGGTGGATCAAAATTTGTATGCAGCAGCATCCTGGTTTTCGGATGTGTTAAATTCTAAAGTCTGGTTCATCAGACCATGACTGACATTTGACCCTTGTGATTGATTTTAACAAAAATTGAATATATGGGGTTCTTTGATATGCTGAATCTAAACATGTATTTAGATTTTAGATTTTTGGCCCAGTTTTCAAGTTGGTCCAAATTGGGGTCCAAAATTAAACTTTGTTTGATTTCAACAAAAATTGAATATATCGGGTTCTTTGATATGCTGAATCTAACCATGTATTTAGATTTTTTATTTGTGGGCCATGCTATCAAATTGGTTCATATTGAGGTCAAAAGGGTCCAAAATTAAACTTTGTTTGATTTCATCAAAAATTGAATTATTGGGGTTCTTTGATATGCCAAATCTAACAACTTTTTTTGATTTCAACAAAAATTGAATATATGAGGTTCTTTGATATGCTGAATCTAACCATGTATTTAGATTTTTTATTTGTGGGCCCCACTATCAAATTGGTTCATATTGAGGTCAAAAGGGTCCAAAATTAAACTTTGTTTGATTTCATTTAAAATTGAATTATTGGGGTTCTTTGATATTTCAAATCTAACCGTGTATTTAGATTATTAATTTTGGGTCCCGTTTTTTAAATTGGTCTACATTAAGGTCTAAAGGGTCCAAAATTAAACTTAGTTTGATTTTAACAAAAATTGAATTCTTGGGGTTCTTTGATATGCTGAATCTAAACATGTGTTTAGATTTGTGATTATGGGCCCAGTTTTCAAGTTTGTCCAAGTTGGGGTCCAAAATTAAACTTTGTTTGATTTCAACAAAAATTGAATATATGGGGTTCTTTGATATGCTGAATCTAACCATGTATTTTGATTTTGGACATTGGACCATAATAGGTAAATTAAAAAAATTCAAGTTCTTAGACCACATTCTTTCTGTGTCAGAAACCGATGCTGTGTCAAATATTTAATCACAATCCAAATTCAGAGCTGTATCAAGCTTGAATGTTGTGTCCATACTTGCCCCAACTGTTCAGGGTTCGACCAGCGAAGCATTTTATTGTCTCCTGTGAAGAAAGTTGCAGAATGCAAGACAAGGATTACAATCTGGTGGCAGCAACGGTAAATAAAATGCTTCGCTGGGCGCAGCTGGATATGACCGCAAAGGTCGAAGCCTGAACAGTTGGGGCAAGTATGGACACTCCATTCAAACTTGTAACAGCTCTAAATTTAGATTGTGATTACATATTTGACACATCATAGGTTTCTATCACAAAATGAATGTGGTCAAAGAACTGAAAAAATAAAATTGGATTTTAACTATTATGGTCCATTATCCAAAATATAAATACATGGTTAGATTCAGCTTATCAAAGAACCCTAAAAATTAAATTTTGATGAAATTTCAAACTTAATTTATATATAATTTCTAAAATTAGAATATGATGCTATATCTATTTTAAACTATGACTCAACTTAAAATTTCTATTAATTGTGCAATACAGCTCTGAATTGGGATTCTGATTAAATACTTGATATAGCATAGTTTCTGATATAGAATGAATGTGGTCTTAAATAATTTAAAATTGGATATTTACCAATTATGGTCCAATATCCAAATTTTAAATACATGGTTGGAATCAGCATATTAAAAAACTCCATGAATTCATTTTTTGAAGAAATCCAACAGTTTAATTTTGGACCTTTGGACTTCAATGTGGACCAATTTGATAACAGGACCAACAAATTTTGGGGTCGTATAAAAATTATGTTTAGTTTTTATAGGAAGAGAAATAAAAATGTCAATCTTTTTTAAATGATAATAATAGTATTAATACATGTAATAATAAATAATTCTTTATTTAAAGAGGTTACCTAGTTAGCTCTTCCCTGAGGCCCTCATGAAATGCATTGAAATATAACAAAGAATTACAAAATAATCAAACAAATACAAACAAAATTTCCTTTATTCATTTTAATATTTAATTTCCATATTAGCTATAAAAATGTTGAATAGACAAAATTTCAGTTAACTTCTTTGTTCGTGTCCTGGAGTGGTAATATCAGAAACTGGACATAATGATCTCTCCATATTAACAAACTCAGTTTTTTTGTAATATTATCTGTCCCTTTATCAGCATGAGATGACAGATTTACAGCTCTACTTAAACGTTTTATAATCTAATAATGAACAGTAAATTTCAAACTATATCTGTTATACATAATTTCTTCTCTAAGTTAAGATAATGATATGATGTTATATTTATTTTTAACTATGACACTACGTATAATTTCTATTACTTGTGCAATACAGCTCTGATTAAATATTTGAGATAGCATAGTTTATGACACAGAATGAATGTGGTCTTAGTACTTAAATTATTTAAAATTGGACATTTAGCAATTATGGTCCAAAATCAAAAATCTAATTATATGCTTAGATTCAGCATATCAAAGAACCCCAAGAATTCAATTTTTGTTAAAAATTAAAATAAGTCTAATTTTGGATACTTTGGACCTTAATGTGGACCAGTTTGAAAAACAGGCCCAAAATCTAAAACACTTAGATTGGGCACATCAAAGAACACCAATAGTTTTTTGTTTAAATCAAACTAGTTTAATTTTGGACCCATTGGACCTTAATGTGGACCAATCTGAAGACAGGGCCCAAAATTGCAAATCTAAATACACGGTTAGATTCAGCATATCAAAGAACACCATATGACTATATGATCCTAGTGTCTTGATAGATCCTAACTCCATTTTGGTAATTCAAGTGAGCTTACGACGTGATGGATTACAAGAGATTTCAGTAACCCTAATTTACAAGGAGGACTTCTCTTTCATCTTTCTCCTCTCTATTTTATTTCAATTTTGCTTTCTCATTGTATTGTATACACTTATATTCATTTGTATCTTAGTTCTTTGTTGTTTAAAAGTGTCTACTTGAAGTGTGTCATTTTTTGTGTGTTCATGTCCTAGTGACCCAACTGTTCATTGATAGACCATACTGACATATTTCAGTTACGTTGCCCGCTTTTTATATTGGAGTCAATCTTTAGGTAGGAAATCTAATACCAGCCCTGAGACAACAACAATGAAGACCATGAAATATTCATCTAGATTCAAATCACAAAACCTTTTCCTCTGAACTAAAGTGGGCTTCCAAATTAATTGTATTCTCCAATTATCCTTGAGAGACCACATAGACTACCTTAATGGCAATGATTGCTGTTGATAACAAAGATATGAAGTTTACATCTTTATTAATATAATTCAAACTATAGTTTTGGCACTTGGGAGTCAGATTCTCAGCTATGGGAAATTTAGCTCCAGGCCTTGTCGACAACCTTGGTGAAAACCCAATGGCCATGGACAGGACACTCCGTCGACTAACCGGAACGATGTTCCTAAGAGAAGAAGCGATGTTTCATCTCGCAGCAGGAGGCTACGATAAGAGGGGGTTGAATTGACAGTGGAGAAAGAAATATATGAATTTAATTACTTAGGGACATGAGAATTTAGACCAGTGGTCAATTTCATAAGGGTTCAAAACTCGGGTGCAAAGCAGCTGAGTGACCCCCAAGGAATTGTATGTTTTGAAAGTAGGGAGTATGGAATTAAAACCTTCAACTTCTATCAGACCAAGAAAAAAAACTGCTATTTACATAATATTTATATGAACATTGATACTATTTGCATAAAAATTTGAATGAAGTTTAAAGACAAGTTATGTATCAGAAGCAATTATCAATAAACAATAGTTAATTACAATAGTTCCTGTATTGCAGACAAAACAAATAATAAAATACAAAGTGCTAAATACATAAATATATGTAACATGAACAAAAACACATGTTTCTTCAATTAGAGATAAAATCAATATTTACAGGTGGCCCTGATCTGTGACTTAGTACAGATTAATAAATGCTAAAAATAGATACATAAGTGTAAAAAAAAATAACAGATGCTTGGATTATTATTTACCAGTTCTGCCAACTTTTAATAATGCAAATGCGTGAGATTTGGCCAAAATCGTAAAGATCAAAGAGAAAAAACAATAGATCAAAGGAAAATGCCGCCAAATAAGCGTGAGACTTGGTAGCACTGAATTTTACAGGTGACAGTATCATATGACCTACTACAGACACTCCAACAGACTCTCAAGTTACTTCATCATGTTCATAATTGCAAGATTCCTTCATGTAAAATTGTTGTTTCTGTGGTTAATTTACAGTACTT